GGGGGGGGGGGACTGAACCACTGCCAGGCTGTGAGCGCGGGGGAATGCTTGGAAATCCATAATCTGGTGGGCAAATGACCGAATCAAGTGAGGGTCCAAGTTCACGACACCGATACCATCATGTAGACTGCTCCAGGTGAATGCACCTATTTTTCTCGATGCACACATCCTAGGACGGCTCGTTGACATTCAGTCAGGGATATCTTGGCGTCTGGCAGAAGATGTCGGTGTGGGGTTTGGGTTCGGGGTCGAGAGTTCCAGGTCGGGCCGCTGAACGGGCCGGAAGACGGGCAGACGAGGTGCAGGCCCCATTCAGGCAGCACCTCGTAACGGACAACGGTGTTCTGGATTTCTAGGGGTGTGTCTACCGGACCAATCGACACGTGCCAACATCACTTCTGCCAATCGCTCAGAGGCCTGTTGATCAGGGTACGAGTTGCGGGCTTTGAGACGATCACCTGCCAACGAACTCCAAAACGCCGACTTTCCTGGTGTAGGGTTTGGGTGCAGTCTGTCTCTGCCCACTCCGCTGCCGAACTTCTCGACGGACCAGCGTGCACAAACAACAACAGGGATTGAGTCTTATGGTGGATTACCGAGCGCGCTTCGAACTAAACACGCCTTAGGACTACATAGGGAAGGCATTACCATTGATGCAGGACACACAATGAATGTCAAAGCAGAGGCTGTGCTTGGAAGGGTGTTTTACCGCCCTCCAATGCCCCCCCCCCCCCCCCCCCCCCCCCAAAACTATCCTCTCGTATAAAGCTTGACTGAGAATACATTATTCACTTTTTTATCTACACTCCAGAGCTCAACCAGGCCCTTGTTTTACTTCAACTTCCGCTCTGTCTCGATCACAGCACACGTCTTCTACCGCTCACGGTCCCAGCCAAGTCAAGAAGATGGCTTCATCAGCCCCGCTTACCACCGAGCAGGCAGAGGCTGCTGGACTTCTCCCTGCGTCGCATTGGCAACAGCAGGCTGACGCCGTAAGTTCAACTTCCCACCGCCACCGATGTTTAGTCACCAGCTGACCAGCCCCCATACTCGCACAGCTTGAAGAAGAAGATACAGTAGATGACGGCGCCTCTTCAATCGGCTCGATCGCTTCGACCACCGCTTCCTTGAGTTCGACTATCTATGACTACCGGACTGTCCATAAAAGAACCTACCACGGTGATGTCGGCAATGCCGAGTCTTGGGAGCCCAATGACCAACGTCATGTTGAGGCGCTGGAAATCTAGTAAGTGACAAGTGTAGTACCCCCATATGGCTTCACAAGGCTGGAGATGACCGTATAAAATACTGACGAGATTCATGTATCGGAAAGCCACCACGCTATGTTGGTACAGCTGGACGGAAAGCTCTACCTTTCGCCACTTGATAAGAAGAAGGTCTATAAAGTGTTGGATATTGCGACAGGTAATGGCATGTGGGCCATGTAAGTTCTTCCACGCGTTCATTTCATGAAATCCCAGCCACGTGAAAGGACTTCGTGAATGATTTCTGCACCCAAAGTCGTGACAGTAATCATCAGAGCCACCGTGTCGAGCGACAACAAGGGAGGGGTTTTGCACCTTTGGTGGAGCTTATCTCTACGCGGCCGATTTCACTTCTTCTCGTTCAGCCCCGTGCTAACCAAAGCCTGTCTTTCTATTCTAGTGACTTTGCCGACGAGTTTCCGAATGCGGAAGTCATGGGCACCGACGTTTTCCCCATCCAGCCCTCATGGATTCCTCCAAACGTCAAGTTTGAGATAGAAGATTGCAACCGGGAATAGACTTGGGCCAAGAATAGCGTCGATTTTCTAACATGCGGATGTTAGCTGGTGTGGTTGAAGACTGGTATGCTCTTTTCCATAACGCCTTTAGGGTCTGTAAGCCAGGCGGTTACGTGGAGAGTTGTGGCAGTGGCATGACTTGGCTGAGTGATGATGGAACGGCAACTGAGGCTATGGATCAATGGGGCAAGGTGTTTAGGGAGGGTGGTAGGAAGTTGGGGAGGACATTTACGGTGTATGAGGAGGATTTGCAACGTAAGGGTATGGAAGCAGCCGGATTCGTTGACATTGAGTTTGTGGGCATTCAATGCCCAATGGGGGTCTGGCATCCGGAGAAGAAGGCGGCGGAGAGAGGTCTGTGGTACAAGTTGGTAGCTGAGGCGGATATCGAGGGTAAGTATGGCCTTCAAAATTTGGATGCGGAGTTTATGCTAACTCGTTTAGTAGGATACCTCAATTACGTCTTCACTCTCGTTATGGGATAGACTCCAGAGGAGACCAAGGTGTTTTGCAACCACATTAAGAGGGGCTGGAATAACCCTGAGGTTCACGGTTATTACATGCTGCGTGTGGTGTACGGTCGCAAGCCGGGGTAGAATTGGGGAAGGGAAGGGAGTACATCCCCAAAGGGCTCACGAATCCGCTACCGATTCCAGCCGGAACTCAAAACTGCAGGGTCTGGTTCAGAGGAAGAGCGTGATCGGGACTCTGGGAGTTGATTCCCGACCCGACATTGGATTTCCAGGGGCCCAAGCGAGACGCTAAGCTTGATATTTGGTAACTGCCTACCTACCATCGACCCCAGCATTAAGACCACCTGCTCCAAAACTCCAACCTCCATGTCGTTCGAATATGCTTAGATGACGCGAGTCAATCTCATCCCACCCACTCAAACGGGGCCTGAACGGGTGGACTCCTCTCAAAGAATCCTGGACTGGTGTCAGGATGACATCCTGAGTTCGGCGTCCAAAACATTGAACAACACGGGCTGCGAAGCATCTTGATATAGAAAGATGCAAAACCTAGTATCCGCTCGCTGACTGCGCGCATAAAACCTCGCGGAGCACATTTTTGCATTCTATTGAGTTATCCATTTCATCGTGCTGACCTGCCACAAGCTTAGCATCGCTGACCAACGCGGGCAACCCGTCACTCCAGTGCCCCCGGGCTCGAGCACACTCATCGCTGAGGGGTTAGGGTTGGAAATTTGTCCAACATGAACAATGACAACAACAAAGACACTCTCCCGCAGCGCTCCCATTCCATACATCAAGAGGCTCATTGTGCCGAGGGAGTTCTGTCCTGATGATCAAATGTTTGATACTTTGATTCTTTCCCATGCGAGACCAGCCGCCATTGGGCTTACCGGCCTCGTTCTTCGCACTGAGCCGGCTTTCTTGCCCGGACCCAGGGAAGGTGCGTGGCCTCACTTGACTATTCCTCCTATCAACCGTCCAATTCACCCAAGCGCCCATTCTTCGTCTTACCTTCTTTCACGACTTTTCAATTTTCATTTTGCCCGTGAGGTCAAGTGGCAGGATTCGGCTGGCAGCGCTTAATTGAAACTTTCACATATTGCACCAAGCTCTCATGGTCCTCTTCTAGGCCGCGACGAGGGATGATCGGCCTCGTTACCATGGTTGCATAGACCATCGCAAACCGTCGCGGTACCGTGTTGGCCTTTGTCATCAACAAAACAATGAGCCGCCACTCCGAAACTCAGAGTCGGGGTCCCTTTATCTCGAAATAGCCGCGAACTTAAGGCAACGGGATATGCTTTGACATCCAATTTGCAGCTCTTTCGCCATGATGGCCAGCCTGTCGCCTGCACGGAGCGGCACAATCCCTTCCATGCCATGGATCCTAGTCTTCTTCAGAAACTTCAATGGGCTATTCAACCCCTATGGAAACAAAACGGTCATGGGCTCGACGATGTTCAGTCGCCGAAAAGTCTGTATTAAAACCACATGGTAAGTGATCTTCCACCATTGGCCTCTCCCCTCCATCTCTGTGTGAAACATTTCCGTTAACCGGCCTGCTTAGCACATCCCCTTTCCAAGTACTCGTATTAAGCTCAACAGAAACACAACACACTCGGACATGGGGCATAGACAAACCCCCTACACACAAGCAGTCATGAAGCTGGCCTTCACGCTAGCGGCCTCCGCCTTCCTGGCGACGGTCCCCATCACAGCCTCCCCCATCATCCCCAACACCTTCCCCAACACCGCGATCATCAAGCAGGACACCGCCATCGTTAGTCCCGCAACCGTCTCCGACACCATCCATCCCACCACTACGACTGTTAGTCTTCGATCTGAAGAGTCGAAGGCTGCTGACGAGTCCGATTATTTCACATCAGACTCTGAAGACGATGGCCGTCAAGAGTATGTCTATGTCTCTCGCGAGGATATCACCGCCGAAAATTACTCTGGCGAGCATGGGGATACCCTCGACGATAATGTCGAGTCTCATGTGAACTCTTTCAACCGCCGTGGCTCCCACACCGCTGAGTACTGGAAGTCTCGTCTTCCTTCTACTTCCCACAACCGCCGCGGTTCGCACGGCGTTGAGTACTGGAAGTCTCGTCTTCCTCCTACTTACTGGAACCAACGCCCCCCAGCCAGTTTGCCCAAACGCCGCATCCCTATGCCTGAAGAATTGAGTCAAGATGACAAGGACAAGGCAATTTCCGACTTCCACTCCGTCACCAGTCCCATGGTCAAGCGCAATTACGGCGACGCGAGGGACAAGTACGAGTGTCCTTGTATGCTTAATGGTAAATACAAGCCGCAAATGGTAGCTTGTGCGGACAAGTATCATTGTCAGGATGAATCAAAGTTCGTATGCATAAGCTACAAGGGTGTTGCTGTGGGGTTTACTGTGGACGAGGGCGTGAAGCCGACCAAGAAAGCCAGTGGCAAGAAGCGAGAGCTTGGCTCCACGTCCACCTCAACATCTATTAATGATGATCCAAAGGGAGAGTTCATCTGGGGCGAGGATGAGGAGAAGCCAATCAAGAACAGCAAGCGAAGTCTTGACAACGACCTTCGACAACGCACCCCCGGCCACCGAGGCATCAAATGCACTAAGGTAAATGAATTCCCATACTGCGATAACACCCGCAACATGACCCTAGCGACATGCCACTGCGCCATGTACCAATGGAATGACACGACGAAATCCCACAATATCGTGATCATAGGGCCGGCGGAGAAGGATGATTCCGACGCCCCCAAGCACAAGCGAGACCTGCCTGACAGCAGCAAGAAGCGCAGCAGCATCGATGACATCAACTCCTTTGACTCTGGCTCGTGTGGCTCATACCTGCCCACAGACATTGATGACCACAATAGCATGGCCATCAAGAATGAGAAGCGCTATCGCGTTCCTCTCATGAGCAGACATCCTCAAGCAAAGGTCGCCCGCGCAGAAGACTACGGCTATATGTGCGCCAACACCGCTGCCCAGATGCGGTGCAAAAATAATAACGGAGTTATCGAGTGTGACTGTTACCCACCGATGGAAACAGCGATCCAGGATGAGAAATCCCCGAGCGGTTGGCGCTGCCAAAAGAGTAAAAAGACCGATGTACCGGTTTCTTGTTATTCTGCTGTGAAGACCCGCGTCAATCAGGATTGTTTCTGTATGCCGCCAGCAGAAAAGGCGATTAAGAAGCCCAATACGAAGCGCGACGTTTCCGCAGGGGAAGTTGTTGAGGGGCGAGGCTTGATCCCTCTCAGTGAACTCAGCGGACGAGGTCTTGTCGCCCGCAAATTGGCTTCGCAGTACTACTGCACCAACCCCAGAGCAAAGATCATGTGCGAGGGTTATAAACATGCTGAATGCTGGTGTTTCAACGAAGAGCGGAAGGTGAACGAGAATGGAACATCGATGGCGACGATGGTGAAAGGAGATAAGGCTTTTGTGGACTCCGACTCCAACTCAAACGACGTGGGCGGCAAGGGCGGCGAGGGCAGCGGGTACAATAACAAGGAAGACGACAAGAAGCCGGCGGACAAGAGAGATGTCACCTCCGAATCTGATTCAGATTCTGTGGTGTCTGAGCCCAAATTTGAGACCAAGTCCAAGAGGGACCTCCTCCAGTTTGACATCTTCGTGACGCTGCCCGGGGATGTAGTCAAGGCTCTCACCGGCTCAAAGAAGAGAGATTTTCCGGTCAAGGGGGAGATGGAGGGGGAGGAGCACCTGCTTGAGGGGAGCATGCTTGAAGGGGACGTCACCAGTCAAGAGCATGAGTTCATTGCTCGCAAAAACAACGGGTACGGCACCCGAGAAGTCGAATGCAAGGAGACGGGTGACGTCGCCGGCTTTTGTCTCGTCAGCGGCTACTGCTACTGCCTCCAGTGCCGGGGGTTCCCGGACAACTGCGACTTTGTGCAGAGGAAGGGCGTCGGCGACGGCAAGCGCGGCCTGGCCTCCCCGACCGAAAACAACCTCCTTGAAGACCGCGACTTCACCAGTGACAGGAACACCAACCCAGGCCAAATACCGCCATATATCTTGAGGATTACCAGCCAGGTCAAAAAGAACAACCGACCCGTCACGTTTATCTGCCAAGCCGCGAACGGCGGGTTCTGCATTGAGGACGGCTGCTATTGTGTGAAATGCCAAATTGGTCTGAACGGTTGCAGTTTCAAAAGACTCGGATCGCGCAGCGCAAAGAGGGCTGCGGCCGATGGAGGTGGGACGGGTCTTGATGAGCTGTTGACCATCGACGACGAGGCGGGTGGAGGGGAATACTATCAGAAAAAGAGTTTGGTCAACGAGAAGGAGAAACGTGGTGGGGTTTCAGGCGTCCACAGAACCAGTCCGTTTGGCCGCCCCGTTACGGTCGGTCGCCGGAGCGCCATGCCACTAGCCATGCCCATGCCCGATAACCAAGCGATTCTGGATAAAAGGGGCAAGGGCTTCGACTGCCCTGGCGAGTCCCTCGGGGCCTTCTGCTTTGCCGACGACGAGTGTTTCTGTCTAAAGTGCAAGAAGTTCCCCAAGGACGGCTGCTCTTTTGTGCAAAGAAAGTTCTTCAGGAATACCAAGACCAAGCGGGATTTGGATTTTGGTGTTACGGCCTCTTCCTCATTAGGGGAAGATGGTGGTACTAGCAAGCGGGAAGTCGTCGTCGACGCTGACGTCGTCGTCGTCGTACCGCCAACGATGACTCGTACTATCACGCCCACCTCTTCCGTTCTGTCAAACACATCCGTTCCACTTGCCTCCTCCGCAACTGCAACCGCTACCTTCACGGCCAACGCCGACGACGTCGCCAACCGCAACCACTCCAGGCCCGGCCACGGCCTCAAATCCGAAGTAAACATCTTTGCCCGCGGCAGGCGCGCCGACGGCTACAAGCCACAGTGCGTGCGGGAAAATATGACGGGCCAAGAAGGAGGAAATGGAGGGGCGGGACAGACGTCGGTGCAGGCGGTGGATAAGCTGAAACTGAAAGCTCGTGATCAAGCAAATAACGCTGGGTCTGCTTGCAGTCCTGTGGGAGGGTGGAATTGCATTGATGGAAAGTCGTACCAGCAGTGTACCCCCGGCGGCATTTGGACGGCGGCTATGCCCATGGCGGCTGGTACTACTTGCACCCTAGGGCAGACCACTATGCTTAATGTCACGGCTACGGCTGCGGGAAGCAAGATGAGGCGTCTTACTAGTAGTGTACATGTAGCTCGTGAGGAGCCGGAGGTTGTGGCAGTGCCGCAGAAGGGGGACAGCATGGCTAGTAGGAGCTTGGAGGAAGAGAAGGATGGGCAGGAAGGGCAGGATGAGGGGACGCATCGGGTTGCTATCCCTGGAGCTGGAGAGATTGATGTTGAGGCGGAGTGATGAGGGGCAAGACGGTGATGTGAGAAGTCCAAGAGGATGACGATGGGAAAACGGGATGGCAGCGGCTGGGGCTTGGATGGTGGCCAAAAAGCCGTATGATTGCGGGTGCCATGAGGATGGCTTGTGTTATTGCACGGTTTGTAATTCGAAGTTGAAGGCTTGTAGGAGGGTTAACCAGCGCGGGCAACAAACCAAGTCAAATTAAATCAAATCGGACCACCGATTTGATTTGTTCCCAGCGCTGGGGTTGAGCAGCCCGAAAAGGGGGCTACATAGTTAGGCTGTCGTCAGGATCTGACTGAGAAGATGGGAGGGTGACGGAGCGGAGGAAACAAGTTTCGGCATGAAGTGAGGGAAATGGGGTATCAGGGAGGCGGGTCTTTATCTTCTTCGACATTGTATCATTTGCTTTTCTTTTTTTTTCCTTTTTTCGTTCTTTTCTCGGACTGGAAGAACAAGAATTTGTGATGCCCTGTGGCATGAAGAAGAAATCTTCTTCCGCGAACAAAAGAAGAGATTCAGTTCAGTTTCGTTCATGATTCGGTGAGAAGTCTTTGTCGTTGAGATTGACTGTTGACAAGGAAATAACTCGGTGATGTTCGCAGACAACGGCGATAACTTGATTTGGGTTGACAACTTGACACTGGTTTTCCGACACCCAGTGACCCAGAGGATGCATGGCTGCATGTGCATAGGCCTTTGACACTGGCCGCCTGTTGAAACTGCAAAGGGCCATTATTGACCAGCTGGCCTGTGTTTGTTTGTTACTACTTGCCTGGGTGCTTTGTCGACATCAAGTTTCTGCATGTATGGCACTCGGACTTCCCCCAAAACTCGTTCAATCTTCTGCCTGCAGATGAGACTTTTCTTCTTGCTAGCAGTATTATGATGCCCTTACAGCGCAGCGTGTCTATGATGCAGCAGCGAGCGGTTACGAGACCAGCTCTCCGGGACGGGGGTTATGACTCGTCGACTCGACTTGAGCAAGGAGATTAACCCTGAAAGTTGGACTTCAGGACCTCTCTATGACCAAGATGATTTATCACGGGTTTTTCTGTTCCAGCAATGGTCCATCGCAACCTAATCATGAAACTTTCCTAGACGTTCATTATGTCCCATCGGTGAACACTCGAAGTCGTAATTCTTCTGGAATGGAGGGGACTTTTTATGATGCCTAGTGTTGCTGCGTAGGCACACCCAATATCCATCATCATGCGGAAGCAACTCCAACCTTGGTAGCCCAAGGAGGATATCGTCCGGCCAAGGTGTGGCCTTCATGTGCATGCCTTGTTCCTGCATATCGAGTTCGAAATGTCGCCACCCAGAACGCACGATCTGATGTAGCCAAATCCAGGCAGGACATGCGGATGGAAGATGCCACGAAGCAAGGTCAAGTTGAAGCCACATTGAAGACGAAGGACTGGAAGCCCTGGCCGAAACCCTACATGTATGTTCGAGCCGGCCGGTCGCCGACCTGCCCGAGCCACAAACATTTTTCCTTCCCAACGGCCACCCCTCAAAAAGAGAACCATCGTTCCTCTTCCTTATTCCTCTGACTTTCTCCTTGACCACAATTTCTCGGTTCATATCCAACTGGTCATTCTTCATTCATCACGGTATCACCGTGATACCTATCCATCAAGATGTTTAACATCTACCTCCTCCTCGTCTACATCCTCCTTCTTTCCCCCGCTGTCCTCGCCGCCCCAAATGGCCTCAACAAGGCCGCCCCCCGCGCCGCTCAGAAAACCTCCACCCGCACGCTAATCGAGGAAGACATGGAGGTGATCGAAATCAAGAAAACCACCTTGACCACCATCCAGACCCACAGCCAGAGCCAGAGCCCGAGCAATACCCGAAAGGTCATCTCGCGCACGGTGACCTCCGTCGACGTCGTTGAGGAAATGAGGGTCGTTGACGGTCCTCCTCCACTCATGATTAGGATTACCTCTACTCAGATTGTCCACGATCCTCCTCCTGCTGCTCCGATCGTGACGCTCGAGGTTATTCCTGTTCCTGTTACTGTTCCTGCTCCGATTGTGACCGTCCAGGTTGGTCCTGCTCCTGCTCCTGCTCCTCCCCCTCTTTTTCCCCCTCCTCTTTTTCCCCCTCTGCCTCCGGCCCGAAGACAAGGACCGTGACCGTCGGGCGGAGGCTGCTCCAGCTCCTGCTCCCCCTTCTGTTCCCAGGACAATCACCAAGGTCGAAGGTCCTGCCGTTGTCACCATGACTGTGCACAAGTCTGGTGGTGGCAAGGCGCCGTTGAACTACACGGAGGATTACAAGACTTGGAATCCGTGGGAACAGGTTGGGCCTGGACCTAAGGCTAGGGCAGCCAGGCTGCCTAAGAGGGGGAACATGGAGAGAATGGAGGTTAGGAGTAGAGGTAAGGAGTGGAGGGTTACGAACTGGAACGGGCTTCCTGCTCCGACGTTGCCTACCAAGTCTAATCCTTTGGATTTCGGGCCGGGGATTGGACTTGGGAAACTTGGGAAGAGGGACGTTGAGAATATCGAGGTCTTGACGTCGTTCGTCACGCTGACGGCTGTTGATGTGAGTTAACTTGCTTTCCTTTTTCCTTCGTTTCTTTGTTTTTCTTTTCGTGGGGGATCCCTCCCATTCTGCGCTCTCCATCCCCCCCGCACCCTTTACCCTCCTCTTGTCTACCTCTCAGTCCCCGTAACCTGTTATCCGTTCCCCGTTCCCCGTCCCCGTCCCGTCTCCGAAAAAAACCCACACCCCTTATCTACCCCTAAGATTAATTCAACTAACAAACCATCCCTAACAGCAATCGTCCCCAACCCCCAACGTCGTCCCTGTCCCTGTGCTCAGCACCTCGACGGCTTCAAACACCACCTCCTCCACCCCCATCATCACCCCTGCCCCTGTCATCATCACCGTACCCGCCATGGTCACCGAAGTCGTCGTCGTCACCGAGGGCGCTTCCAATAATTCTCCGGCTCCCGCCCAACAGGAGCGACAACAACAACAACAGCAGCCTATCCTTCCAGGCCAGATCCCCTCCACCCGCTCCGACACCGGCAGCATCAACCTCCGTCCAGGCCTTGAGGACGCACCTCATAACATGCGGGACATGACAGACAACTTCTACTTCAACGCCGATAACCCCGATGAGCTCCGGCCCAGTGGCAAGTATGCGGCTTTGGTGAAGACGCTGGTTAAGGATCTTCCGCCGCCTCCACTGCCTCCGACGCCTACTCCGCAGACGCCCACTCCTGCTCTGGAGCCGGAACCCAATCCGGAACAGCGAGCGCAACCGCCTCCGGATCCGGCTCCTGCTCCTGCTCCCGCTCCTGCTCCCGCTCCTGCTCCCGCTCCCGCTTCTGCTTCTGCTCCGAGTCCGAGTGCGAGTCCGCAGGTCGCACAGCAGGTAAGTTCCATACACAATCCCACAGGGAACTTACCCACAGTCCCCTCACCAACCCCAAAAAAGCCCCCAGTCCTAGCCCAGCCGCAACCCTCACCCACATCCATCTCACCAACAGAAATCAGAAGAAGACCCCGACCAGGAAGTCATTCCCGTCCCTATCGTGCACACCTACACAGTCGGCACCTTCCACACCTCCATCGTGCGCACCTACGCCGTAACCAAAACCAATACCGCCCTGTGGACTTCGAAGTTTGAGGTGGTTGATGATTTGCCGCAGGCTACTGATCAGCCTCGGGCTTTACCTCCTCCTTCTTTCCTGGAAGCTGGTGAGGTTGACAGGAGTGTGTCGACCAGTTTGTTGACGTTACTGCCGGGGCAGTTGGGGGAGCATAAGGAGACAACTGTTAGTATTTTGGTGCCTGTGTCTGTTAGTCCTAGTCCGCTACCGACTCCTGCTCCGGGAGTTAGGGTTCCCGTGGTGGATAGGGAGAAGGGTTCTGGGGAGGAAAAGAGGGAGGGGGTGATGACGAGTGTGGTTAACATCCTGCCTGGACAGGTCGGCAACAAAGAGGAGATGGTGTTGAGTGTTTTGGTGCCTGCTGAGGGTGTACACTCTGACTCTCCTGCTCCTGTGGCTGCCGAGGCTTCGAGCTCTTCAGTTGCTGCTGCTTCTTCGACCCCCTCGGCGGCTGTGGTCCCGGTGAAGACTACGGCTGGGGACAAGGCAAGCGTGCTAACCCCCTCCTCCCCCTCGCCGCCGGCCAAGTTGGCAACAAGGAAGCAACGGCAATGGCGGTGCTGGTTCCCGCTTCTGCTTCTTCGACCCCGTCGGCGTCGGCTGCTAAGGCAAAGACTGCGGGCTTAGGGGCAAGTGTTGTGACCTCCCTGCTTACCCTCTCCGCCGGTCAAGCTGGGAATAAGGAGGAAATGGTGATGGCGGTGTTGGTTCCCGCTTCACCTCCGAAGGTAAAGTCTCACCTAGCTGGAGATTTACACCACCCGTCCGAATCCGAGGACTACTGGTCCAAGACCAAATCGCCGCACCCGCCGTGGTCTTCGGCACCGCAGCAGCCGCCAACCGCGATACCTGTCACGAAGCCACAATCTAGCACCACTCCAGGCTCGGATGTGGTCCCCCTCTCTGCAGTCTCTGGGGGTTCCGGTGGTGGTTCATCAGTCATCGACGCTAGCTCCAACACCCCACTGGCAATCATAACCACCTTAATCACAGTCCAGAACACCTCCATCACTACCGCCAACACACCCGCGAGTGTATCTTACACAACAAGCTTTGTCACCGTTTACGATGCGGTCACTTCCTCCTCCCCTTCCCGTGCTGGCCCAAAGGATGAGCATGTGAATCCGGAAAAAGACAAGGACATGGCTAACCCCACGGAGAAAGACCTCGAAGCGCTGAAGAATAGTGAGGTGTGGGGAACCGTGGTGCCTGGTCAAGAAGTGGTGATTGATGGCCAGACTGTGGAGGTTGTTGCTGTCATGACTGGAGGGCCTTGAACGGTCTACCTAGGCTTTTGTTGATGGGAAGGGAATGGCGATGGGGGTTGAGCGGTGGTAGATGTGGACTGGCGATTGAACAAAGCAAAGGGGATGGTGGTGCGAAAAAGAGTGGGTGGACTTGTCCTTTGGTGTAAGAGCACCTGGTGGGTGGGTGTGAGCTCATATGGGATAAGAGTAAGACTTGTTTGCCAGTTTGTGATGGCGGTTGCACAAACCCCAAAGGGTGGTAGCGGCAGCAAGACAGCGAGGCAGCAACTGAGATACTTCAGTGATGGTGATCATGTAAGATGGAATAGCGATAAGAAGACGGCGTGCCACAGTGCCACGGGCAGATGCAGGTTTGAGGTTGGATCTGAAAGGGGTTCTCTAATGTCAATAGAGAATGTACGATACCATTTGCAAATAGGGGGCGCGCTATTTAGAAAGAAAAAATGTTTCGTTTATGAAGCGGGAATATGGGTGATGGGCGATGGTCCGAGGATGCATCTTACCTACCAATCCCTCCATAATCAAAAGTGTTTCTCAGTTGAGTCCATGGTGTTGATGGTGTTGATACCTTAATCTTGCTTTCCCCCTAACTATGAGTTGCCGCCGGCATCTCTGATGGATCCCCCTGACATCCTCTCCTCCACTCCTCCAGCTGCGGGCCTGGCGGCAGCATTTGTTCCGTTCAGCCCGGCAGCGGGCCTGGCCGTTCGACCGTTCGCTCGGCGTCTCGGGAGCAGCGGGTAGTGATGGGTACGGGTACTGTATGGAGGTGGGTATAATTAGAAGATGATATCCACTTGAACATCATCGTCATCATTCCGCTATCTCCGGACTCCGGTGGTCCGCCTGGCTTCCATGGGTTTCTCAGCTAGGCAGGCCTGGGTGTGATGGGAATGTAGCTCGCTGCAGCCAGGGACAACGCCATCATTGAGGACGTAGTCCCTGGTAGCTTGAGCAGTTGAAGGCAGCGAGCGGATAGAGGACAAGGAGAAAGGATCGCGGCACAGAATAGACATTCGATCGTTCAAGGTCATGATATTTATACATTAATACTAGGAGAACGAAGCAGAGAGCAAGCTTTCAACCAAAGGCCACAAACTTTTTTGATGCTTGAGGCCCTCTCAGCGTTCTTTTACGCCAAGAAAACCCCGATGATGGATATCGATAATAACACAAGTACATTTGTTGTCCCAAACTCCACTCTCTTCCGTCATGGCCGCTTGGTTGAAACTAACTCCACCTATTTCCGTCATGTCCGACAACGATTGCACTCTTTCCCATCTCTGAGTGTGAGAACTACGAGAAGTTCCAAGGCGTTGATTTGCACATTGCATGTGAATGTCGTGAAACCACCAAGTAGAGTATCGTAGATGTCGCAGAGAGTGGAATCATGTGCGCTCGCTTTCAGTTCATCCCTCTAAGCTAGAGAAATGCACTTATTTGCCAGGGTTGGCAGCGACGAAGTCCTTGCCCTTCTGGATGTTCTTCTTGAGGTCGACAAGGCAAGCATCAATGAGCTTCTGCTCGATCTCGTCGACGGGGCCGACGGGGAGGATCTTCTCGACACCGTTGGGGCCGAGCTCGACCTTGGAGGAGAAGAAGTCGATGCCCTGGTCCTTGTAGAGGGGAGACTCGACAAAGGTGGGCTCAGTGACGCCCTTCTCGCCCTGAGCGGCGCGGAGGAGGGACTCGGCCATGCGGGCACCGGCCATGGCCATGGAGAGGGTGGCGGAACCGGCACCGTCCTTGGCCTTGACGACCTCGTCACCGCCGAACTGGACGCGGTGGACGAGCTGGTCGTTGGAGGAAAGGTCGGGGTGGTTGCTCTGGGAGAAGAGGGGAACGATGGTGACACCGGAGTGGCCGCCGACGACGGTGATGTTCTCGTTCTTGGGGTCGGTGTTCTTGATCTCGGCGACGAAGCGGGAGGCGCGGACGACGTCGAGGGTGGTGACACCGAAGAGGCGCTTGGGGTTGTAGACGCCGGCCTTCTTGAAGATCTCGGAGACGATGGGGACGGTGGAGTTGACGGGGTTGGAGATGACGAGGATGTTGGCCTCGGGGCAGGACTCGGCGCAGGCCTTGGCGAGGTCGCGGACGATGGAGGCGTTGGTGTTGAAGAGGTCGTCACGGGTCATGCCGGGCTTGCGGGGGACACCGGCGGGGATGAGGACAATCTCGGAGCCCTTGAGGGCATCGGCGAGGCCGGAGGCGGTGGGCTCGTAGCCCTTGACGGTGCTCTTGGTGTTGATGTGGGAGAGATCAGCACCGACACCGGGGGCGCCGCGGATATCGTAGAGAGCAAGCTCGGTGACTCTGGGGTTGAGCTTGAGGAGGAGGGAGAGGGGCTGGCCAATGCCACCGGCGGCACCGAGGACGGCGACCTTGGAGAGCTGTTGTTTATAACAATATTAGCATGGCTGCTTGGCTGGTGTTGCGCTTCATCTTCTTGCAGGAGCTTGGACAAGAGCTATGACATGATAATTACTCATGGCTTCTAGCGAATAAAACATACCTGGCGGGCAGAGGCCGAAAAGGCACGGGTCTGGATTCTGGGAGCGAACATGATTGCTATGGGTTGGACGACGAGACGGAATGTGTAACGACGGTTGGGGGAGAGAGAAAGAGAAGAAAGAAGAAAGTTGGAATCTCGGGCGCGCGCGAAATGTTGTTGAAGCTGTGCAACGAATTGTCTCGTTCCTGGCCCCGCCCAATCCGGTTTAGCGCAAGCCGGTCACATTTCGGAATGGTCGGCTGGGGATACCCCGCCCTGCCAGCTTGTGCGCTGTGGAGGCCAAAGTCCACTAGACTTAAAAGCCTCAGGCAGCAATGACAGCACATCTCGATGTCACTTGTCGCCGAAGACAACAACAGAAGGACATGGACACAGCTGCATGGTCTGTGCACTCCTTTGTTAACAACGCCAACCAGCCAACAACAAGTCAATCACATGTTGCATCCGGGTAAAAGGGCCAGTTCATCCCGAAGAGCCTCGATAATTTTCAGGATGTCAGCTTGTCGTGGTCAATTGGACAATCAACAGTTTGGGATCAAAAGAACCAGCAAGCGGGATATTGTCAGAACCATCATCAACCCACATCATAATCTATCATTGTATCTGTATTGTACACCACCAATTCTATCACAACTCCCCCAATTATAAAGATGTAGTTTAAATAGTATAAAACATATCCAGTTCAGTTTCACTCACCCCATTTTTTTCTCTCTCATGTAGTCAAGTCATAACGTTCATCAAGATTGCCACATCATGACCACGACACAACTATGCCCCCATTCTCGCCCGCAACCGCCTCTCAAACTCGGCCACCTTCTCCATCCTGGCCTTCTCCTCTTCCTCCTCCTTCTTCCTCTTCTCCTCCTCAAGCTTCTTGACCTCCTCGGCCCTGCGGATCTTCTCCCTCTCCAACTGATCCTCACGGCGCACGGCAATGTCGCGGGCCTTGAGGTCGCTGAACAGGTACTTGAAGACAATCTCAATGAGCCAGCAGGCCACGTAATCCAAGATCATGACAATAGTCATCGTCCACTTGAACTCATCCGTGAAGGGCACGAGCTTCATCTGCTCGTTGAGCTCGGGCACCATCTCAGTAGAGCAAGCGAAAGCAATGGCCGTGACACCGATAATACCGTAGAACATGCCCTTGTTCTCAGAGATAGACTCGCGGAAGGGGCGGCCTTGGTAGTTGACGGCGAAGGTGGAGATCTGCTGGATGAGCTGGAGAAGGTAGACAGCAGAGTTGAGCAGCGAAGGAGAGAACTCGGCCTCGAGGTCGACGCTCTCGGAGCGAGGCGCGATCTGGTCGCAGAACCGGGCAATGTAGATGAGCGTGACCACGTGCACGGCGAACTGGCCGAGAATGGAGCCGATGATGTAAAAGTTGAAGATGTTGGGCTGGGGACGCTCCTTGGAGAGACCCTCGACCGACTTGGCGCGCGAGATGGACAGGAAGCAGACGCTCATGAGCATACCGCTGATGGTGATCTGGCCATCACCGAACTTGATACCCTCCAGGTAGAGGACAGACAAGCTGTAAGCGCTGATGAGACAGTTAAGGGCAAGGATCTTATACATCTGGATGGTGGCAACCAGAGTGCAGCGGCCTTGACGGATGATGTTGGGAATGGCGATAACGTTGCGGAGCTTCGAAGTGAAAGGGGCAGCGACGGAGGCATCACCAAGCTTAAGCGTGGGAGGCTCGTCGTCATCCATGTCCATGTCCATCATACCAGAGGTAAGCTTGTCAGCAAAGGTGGACGCCTTCTGGGCGGCGGCAGCCTGCTGTCTCTGCTTGGGGTCCTGGTTGATGAGAGCCTGGGCGCCGGGGGAGGTGATGGTCTCGACAGGAGCATTGTGGTGGAGGGACTTGGCAAGCTTCTCGACGGTAACACCCTTCTTAGCAGCCTCGCGCTCCATGGCAACCTGGTAGTGGGGGTTAGAAGGTCCAGGCGGGTAGAGGTGAGCAATGAGAGCGGGAACCGGGGGAGCGGGTTGGCCCCAGCGCTTCATGAGATCAACCTGCTTCTGGTACATGTCCTTGATCTTGTTGTTACGGGCGTGTTCGGCGATGCGAATAAGATCTTCCTGAGTGCCGTTGAGGAGAGCAACACCAATGTGAGCCTGCTTGAGAGCGCCGACATCGTTGGTGCCGTCACCAGCCATGAGAGTGTAGTAACCCATATCCTTGAGACCGAGCAGAATGTCTTCCTTCTGCTTGGGCGACACACGAGCGTAGACCCAGGTGTAGCGGAGCAGAGTCTTCCAGCCGACCTCTCCCTTGAACTTGGCCAAAGCGTAACCGGTAACACATAGATCCTTGGTCTTGATGATCTCAGGGTCAATGGGCTTGGTAGGGTCAACCTCGATGTTGACCTTGTCATCGACACTGCGCCAGATGAGCTTCTCCTCGCCGTGGGCGCTGTGCTCAGGGGAATCCAGGATGAGAACATCACGATCAACGATCTCGACCTCGCGGGCGACGTGGACAGCGGTAAGCGGGTTATCTCCGGTGATCATGACGACACGGTGGCTGCTCTCGTTGAGCATCTGGACGGCCTGCTTGGCATCCTCCTTGAGAGGGCACTGGAGGACAAGGAAACCGGCAAAGGTGAGGTCAGCCTCAACGTTCTCGCGCTTAAGGTCGTTGATCTTGCTGGAACCCAGCTCGTTTTCGGTAGTCAGTTGCTTGTAGGCGAGAGCCAGAACACGGGAACCGCGGCGAGTAAAGTACTTGTAGGTCTCTTCGTAGTCCTTGGGGATGGTAACCAGCATCTTCATGATCGTCTCGGGCGCGCCCTTGACGGCAACGAATGTGCCTCTGAGCTTCTGTCCGGTCTTGGAATCGGTAGCGTTGATAGTGGCGACGGAGCTCTGACGCTTCAGGGCACTGGAGAACTGGAAGCGGCGCTTGACCTGGACGTTGCCATTGACGGTACTCTTGGCGCCGGGCCTGGTCTTGAGCATATCGTTTTGGCCAAGAGACCAGCCGAGGGCAGTAAGGGTCGCCTTCTCCATGGGATCACCAACAATGTCTCCCTCATCGAGCCTAACAAGAGCGTGGGCGGTGGCCAAAACAAGAGTAGTCTCCAAACCGGCCTCGTCAACAGGGGTCATGTGGCTGTGAGCACCATCGGACTCGCGCGGGGTGTCGGTGCCAGAATGGCCGAGGCCAAGACCAGCAATGCCCTCAACAACGAGATCCTCGCCAGTCAGGGTACCGGTCTTATCGAAGCAGGCGACGTCGATACGGCCAGCGAAGGGAATTCTGAAGGGCTCGGTGCAGAAGATGGCGTACTTGGCAAGGGCAGACAAACTGGTGTTGACAGCCAAGCTAAGCTCCATGGGCAGCTCAGGGGGAACGACACTGGTGACGATCAAGACGCAGTCGAGCAGAAGCTTGGAGCGCTTGCGGTCCTTGCGAACACCCTCATCCCAGACGTACCAAGAAGCGGCAACGGCGAAGATCAGGAGGAACAGAATGAAGAACAGGGCCTCAACGTTGTTGGCGGAGACGCGCTCGGTCGAGTAGATCATGGTGCGAACCAAGCTACCCTGGGAAGTCTCGAAACCAGTCTTGGTGACGATAGCCATGGCGCCATTATCGGGAGGAGTAGGAACACCAGAGGCAAGCTTCGGCTTCTCCTCGTCGGGGTTACCGTGGGTGATCTGAAGGACCTTGGTGCCGCCCCACAGGAAAGCGTTCTTATCAAGACCCTCGGTGTCGATCTGAGCATCACCGGGACGGAGCTGGATGGAATCCTTCAACAGAGGGGTACTCTCGCCGGAAAGCATGGCCTCGTTGACGATGGCGGTTCCTTCGACCAGGATCATGTCGCAAGCAACACCGCTGTCCTCCTTCGTACGGGTAACCGAGACAAGATCACCGGGGAGGAGCTTGTCGCTCGTGGTCTCGGTCCACTTGCCGAGGCGGTAGACGTAGATCTCGTAGGGCTTGATGCTCATGCTGCGGAATTCGTTAAGGGTGCGCTGGCGCTGCCAGACAACGGTGCTCTCGAAAACGACGAGCATGAACAGGGTGAAGAGCGAGTAGTACCAGTATTCGTCCAGCATCCACAGACCGACGCAGAAGACCTGGAAGACGAAGAAGGGGGCGACGGCGTGTTCCTTGAAGAGCTCAGTGAAGGTAGGGACGGGGATGTCGAACGTGTTGGTGCCATAGTGCTGCTCCAGGCGGTCGAGCTCCGAGGCGGTCGTGATGCCCTTGGACTTTTGGAAGGTTTCGAGCTTGGGCTTGGGCTCTTCATCGATCTTGTACGTAAGGGTGCTGAAAGAGTTGGTCTCGGTATTGTAGAGGAATCGGCGCTTCTGGAAGAGGAACGAGGTGTTGGTCTTGCCTCCGGCCTGTGAGGTGGTTGGGTTGGTTAGCATTCGGTCATCTTCTCTCTTTCTATCTTGGGATAGCTTGATAAGGGGGGGCAAACTAACAGTATCGCGCACAATGGGGCAGATATCGGAGATGCCAGCGTTAGCAATGGGGATGACCTTGATCAGCTGGGCATCTTGAACGGAGCGGGCCTTCTTCGCGGTGAAAGCGGCACGAAGGTTGATGTTCCAGTGGGTGCAGAGCCAGACCAGGGCCTGGACGGTGACGATGGTGCCGGACCAGACAAAGGTCCATTCCTGGCCGTTGATGTGCTTTTCATAGAGGTCTTGATCGAGGTAGTAGCGGAAGAAGATGGGCCAGATGATGGCAAAGGGCCAGACGTAGGCGTGGAGGTAGAAAGGCAGCGGCCTCAACAACTCGGCAGACTGGATCTGCGCGTTGTCGACGAGCGGCGCCATGATAGCGGTTCGACGGGGGTGTGGTGGTTGTCGACTATAGAGACGGCATCGAACGGGTGTCTTTGGAAATGTAGTCGACGCGTTCGTATGTTATGTTGGTGATGGTAGGAGTAGTCGACTCTCGAAGGTGTCGGTTACTCGGGTGTAGGTTGTTGCTCTGGTCGACGTTGGCGTTGCTGGTGTTTGTCTCCGAAACTGGAACTGGACACATTCTCGTTCGCCTGGGACACTTTTTCCCACCAAAACGACTTGGCCAGTCCGAGCCAAGATCCAGACAGGACTAGCGCTTTCTGTTGGCTTCAGCACCTCAGCGCTGCGCGTCCGCTGGCGACGTAACCAACGCCACCCTTTCAGTGGACTTTTTGCCCCGAAACGCAGCAGTCCACTTCCAAGTGGACCGTCGCTCTTCAGCTTGATGCGAGCTTGGACCATACACGTGTAGGAGGCTCGTGCACCATTATCCCGGCAGGCAGGTGCGCGCCATGAGCCACCATGTTTTGCCGGCCGAGACCCAGAGGCCCGCGAAGAGTCCAACGACATCTCATTCCTGTTCGTGCGTTTCGCTTTCCAAACATCGCCGGCGAAGAGATTCCTCACAGGCACTATGTACTTTTGGGGCCGAATCCTGCCTACCCTGTTCTTTGCTCTGAGTACCCTGTAGTTTGGGTATCTCCGTATACCACCCGTCCATATCTCACATTCATATTCCTTTATCCCTCTTTACCCTTCCCGAGTTTGCCATCCCATCTGCCACTGGATTCAAGCTGTCCAGGATCACGCATCTACTGTCTGACCATCCTAGCACCTTGATTGTCACCTACGTCCATTTATCAATCTCTGGAGGGCCTGGCTAATCACTCATCAGTCACATACCGTTGTCCTGCAAGAGAACAGGTCTGTGTCAGGAGCGGATGTGAATTTCCACAGCCCCGGAAGTCGTGTTCGCTAGAGGCTAAGCAATGAGCCTACCTCTGACTCTTAGGTTTGATAGTGGTGTTTTTCTGTTTGTTTTTTACAGTCACTTCTGATGGGCGCGTCACAGGAAGGCGAGGAAGTTCTTGTGACTGAGCGCGGACACTTAAGCCAAGCACCCAAGGCCCGTATCAGTCTGTCCCTTAACTCTCTCGAGACGGCGTAAGAGTTAGGAAAAGCCACCCTGGTTTATTCCCATCCCTCCCCAAACGACAACTTACTCTTCGTATCCAAGTGGTTCTAGCTAAATGAAGTGGACGCCCCATGATGGGGATTTCATGGGTATGGGGCTTCGACTGAAGCATGCTAACGAGACGCTTGCGGTGTTGAGACCATGATGATTTCGTCAGTGGGCATAATGCTCATTTGGGAGGCAAAATTGACACCGGCATCAACCAGCGGAACTTCTTGACGAGGAAGGTGCGACGGGTATGAAGAGCACAATTGCCATTCAAGACTTCTTTCGGCTTTCCGATGGCACCTGCCGAATGAAAGCTCGCTAGCTGCAGGATGTTAACATGTCCGAGGCAGTGAAAAGAGCTCCCGTCATTTGCTCCTAGACAACTTCATTTTTCCTATGTCTCATTGGGTCCTCTATCTCTCATCATCTTTCAGTTTCATTGTCCTAACCTACTCAGCCACTCTTTGGCCTCTCAGTGAGACCGGGTCATCTGTCCATCTCGACCCAAAAGTATTTCTATCAACACGGTTACGAGTTCTTTTTTTTCGCCATGGGAAAACAGCTTTGCTACCCTCCGCTCCCCAAACCTTTCGAAGTCGAGGAGACCCAAGGTAGGCTCATCTCCCTTTAACAGAACAGCGTCCGGAACCCCAGCTGACAATCGCCAATAAAAAATCCAGATGTGCCCGAAAGTCTCAGTCCCAGTACTTCCAGTACCCCCTGTACTCCCAAAACTCCCAGATGCCCAATACGCAAACCGCCTGTAGTCGGGCACCACGATCGAGGAAAGACACCAAAGGATCCATGCCCGGCACTACATCGCTGCCCGCTGGCGCAAGACCACCCCCTTGACGTGCAACGCCTTCATGCACACCACTTGGCCTGGCAAAGCCGGTAAAATAGTCTATCACGTCGCCCACCCCTACGACGGCGTCTTTGCCCGCTCTCGCATCAGAACCTCCCTTCAGATCCGCAACAAGCTGCAGGGCATCCTCAACCGCCTACCCACCCGCTGCCTGACCGCCGACGAAATTGCCCTAGGCTAGCGACGGCCCGTCGTCCTCCTGTTTTGGGACGCCAGGTTAGAGGTCAGGATCATGTCCCAGTGGGGAATCCAGATCCCCGTCCACGAGTACCCCGACCCCGAAAGGACAAACATTGAGCTGTGGGATCTTCAGAAGTGGCATAATCTCCAGCAAGCCAAGCGGAACGCGGAGACGACCGATTCCGCCTACAACTTGCTCAGCCCGCTGGGAGTCCTAGCGTGTGGGCATACTGCAGGGAACGATGGTTTGCGATGCTGGCAGCGTTTCTGTACTTGCTGTATAGCGGGGAGGAGGCGTGGACGGAGTATATGACGGACTGTACCTTCCTTTCGGAGGAACATCAGGTGAAGCTGGATTGGGTTGATCCGGAGCTTGTGGAGTACAATCAGAGGCTAGATCCGAACTGGGAGGGGGCCTCGTGTGCGGGGTGTTTTCTGTGATTCTCGGTTGGCTTTGCTTTGAAGTTTGGACAGTGATGGCTTAAATATCGGCAGTACTGGGCATACATCGCGGTGCGGCCACGGAAGGAAAGCCATGGGCGGCAAATCGTTAAATGAATGTTGTTCGGTTTAGATACTGTGGTTTGCAACTTCCTGGCATACATGAAGAGGAACACTATCTTGGGCACCGAGACATCGGTTGAGTATAAGCGCAAACATACAGAGATGGCGGTCTTCTATTCACCGCGGAATGATCATTAGCCTTGCTTGATAATTGTCCGCTTTGCCCCATATATTTCCCACCTACCTCTCCTAACAGCTATCGTCGCCCTGATGTCATCTGGCCCAGTTTCTCATTTATGAACCATGCCACATTCTTTGCACATTCCCCCCACAGCCCCTTTCTCAGCCCTGTTATCAAGGAGGCCGGAGCCAAGAACAAGTGTGTTTTCGGAGCATGGGTTATCGGTGGCGGTCGAGGGCCGGTTGGAAGCCGGTCGTGGCCAGACGAGAAGACGTCTTTGACGGTGTTATGGGGCCTAGCAGTTGGATGTATCACAAGGGACAATCGAGGAATTGAGCACTTGCGCCGGGGAATTTAAATCGTTCGTATACCAGGTCACTTTCGGATCATGGTTCTTGTCGTCAACTTAGCTGCGGTCCCTTGACGAGGGGGAATGGACGATCGATTGTTGACGAAGTAAGCTGGTCTCGACTTCTGGGAAGAGGCGGGGGGGGGGGGTTGCGAGCCTGACGAAGAGTTGAACGGGGAAAGAATGATGTCGATGGACGACTTGTCGTTAGATGGTCACGGCGAAAGGGGCACTTCACAGCTTAACAAACGTCGTGTACCAGTAGCGGATGGGACGCCGCTTACAGCAAATGGAGCTACCTACTTTGCGCCACGTTGCTGTTAGTGCAGACATCCCGCTGTTTCTTCACGGTCAGTTCATGCAGTAGGCGCACCCAAGCTCCTTCCTGAGTTCCTGACGCCTTCCACGCAGTCCTGGGTGCAGGCCGGGCAGGTGCAATTTCTCCTGCGTCTTTCTTCTCAAGTCCGATCACCACTTTAATTTCTACCTTTTTCATGCAACTAAAATTAGAACGCCCAACACCACAGCTCCGAGAAGCACTCATGACAGTGCAGGGCAGGCCCCCCAAGTCGAGGCAGTCCGAACCCTCCTGTGGGGAGTCGTATATGGTACAGGTTCCAACCGCTGTTCGACCCTCGGCCCAATTCCTGGAATCGGTATAATCGGTTTGGTCTCAAGCTGTCGACATTGTCTTTTGTCCCAGGGATCCATGCTAACAAACGTTCCAGGATCATGTCGAGACTCGAGACTGGAATCGGAACACAGTGGCTTTGTTTACTTGATTTCCTCTTCCGGACTCGGTTTGGGATGCTCCCCTTTGCAAGTACAGATCCGGTGCGACCTGAATCAAAAGGCGCAGACTGAGAACAGGACTGTAAGCCGGGTATGGCTCTAATGATGTAGTCCAGCATATATGCACATCATCAATACTCCGTGCTTGTTTATATTTCTATTGGTTCAAACCACCTATGTGCTTGATCCGGATGGCCTTGCCCGCAATTTCCATTCGGACACTCGGCATGCTGTCGTCACGCCAGCAACGAGAAAAAAACAGGTCAACCGCCCAGGGATGTTTTTGATGTCGGGCCCAGAGCCCTCCTTTCCCTTCTGATTTTTTTCTCGTGCTGGAAATCATCCTGATGTACGGGCCAATTGGCTGAAGAGACGCATTGCTAGCTCGTGGGCGGAATTGCCTTGGTCCGTTCCTCGAGGTTTAAAAGCTCGATGACAATGTATGCCAGAAGGGCGGACAATGGAAATTGGTGGGTGGAGGAGGGCCCAGTGGGTTTAACCACCAGATCCTCCACTACAATGCAGCCTTGAAAGACAAGTACAAGCCAAACCATAACAGACCGTCCGCAGCCCGTTAGCTATGCCCTCTGCACGTCAAGCCAAGGCCAAGATACCATCTTAAATACCCATGGAAAAAGGATTCGGTAGGGGTACTTGCACATGGAGCTACGTCTCCTCTCTCTCTATTTTCATCAAACAACGTGTATTGAATGCGCGGTCAATGTGATCAAATTGAAGTTTCTTCATCCATTCTGTCCCCCGGGATGTTTCTTCCTGCGGCTCGAAAAGTCAAACTTGGATGGATTTTCGCTACTTTAGCTCCTCGCGTTCTTATCCTAGGACTGGCTACTTGAGTGGGGGAAGAAAGGCCACAGGAAAGGGACGAAGGAATGATGGTCGAACCCTTGCCAACCCTCGAAGAGGTTTCAAAACTGCCGCTGGGTTGCTTGATTACTAATATTGGCTGCAGCTGCATTCTATTCACTCTAACAACTCACAATACCGTTGACTTAAAGCCCTACTTCTCAGTCCGACTCCTGCAAATCATAAAGAACCAGGCGCTGGATCAAAATGGCGAGGCAGCCTGGGCTTGAACAACTGGACGAGATCTCAACCTTCCCTGGTTCACAAGATGACAACCCCTCGCTGGTTGGAAGGAATCCTCCACTCACCTAATTGTGGTCACATTTTGGTCGGGATCAACTACGGCACCTCTGTGAACTGATGACGAGAATCAGACCGAGGCCAAATGCAACGTCGTACACTGTTCTATCATCTCTTTCCATGAGCTGCACAGTCACTAGCCGGACCTTCATTTTTCTGCCACAGGAGGGCCTGCTGCAGTTCCGTTTGTTTCAACTTGATGTCCACTCAAGGTTCATCAGTGGGGTCTCCCCTTCACGGTAACCCTTGGTCCCTACTTCTAGCCGTACCTTACTCAATGGTCGATTGTGAAGCCTTCCTTCACTTCACTTGCACAGCAATACATCCCTTCAGCTTGCAGGGCATGCGGCCCACCACCAGAAAATCCGAAATATTCTGCACCTCCGACCCTCCATACCACCTATTTATACCCACCTCCTCAAGCACCAATCTACATCTACAACCAACGTAAATTGATGGCTTCGTCGACCGTCCATGACAACCTCCGTTAAGTTCACTGACACCAATCTTCAACTACAGTCCATCTCAGCATCAAGCACCTGAGCCACCTTACCTAGTCTACCTTTACCCACACTCTCGCCAATATGTCTCACAGTCCCTCCTCCTCCAAGAAGCCTACTTTTTCTGCCCAGGAACCACCCTTCAAGTCCAAGGAGTACGTTGACATGGCTATTTTCCAGTCATGGCTCAAGGACGCCATACTCGTAGCAATCGATCTCGAAGGCATCGACCATCGCAGTGGCCGGTACGCCGAGGGGCTAGAGACGCATGAAAAAGTCTCAGAGGTTGGTGTCTCGTACATCGACAACCGGAAGAACCATTTCACCTACGATAGGGACTCTTCTACCGAGCAATTATCCAGCATCTCGAAAGGCATTGTCAGCCAACACATCATCATCAACCGTTGGCGCAACTTTACCGAAGAGACGTGTGACGCATCGCACCACAAAAGGCTCGGAGTGCCACATACGGCTATGCCGTATCACTGCATGGTTGCGGAGTCCCAATTCCGGACCCATGACGAAGCAATCTCGGATCTCGACCGTCTTCTGAAAGATCTCTCGACCAAAAATCTCACCGAAGAGGAAATCCAGGCAGACCAGCACCGTGTGGTGATTGTGCTTTACTGGGATGCGAGAATGGAAGTGCAGTGGTTCCACGACATGGGATACGAGGTCGGCCGGTGGGGAGCCCTGCAGTGGGACTTCCAGAAGTTTAAGGCTTTTCGCTCTAAATTCGGACAGGCTAAGACCGCCGCTGGAAAGGTCTTTGCAAGCCTTGGGGTTCGCGCGACAAACCCCGGTAACATGGGCGTGCTACATAACGCCACAAACGACACCTTCGCTCAGCTTGTTGCCCTTCTTCGGTGCATGGTTATCACCGAGGAGGAGTGGAGAATGTGGAGTGGTCCATACGGTGGGTCGCTGGACGCCGTCGACCTCTCATGGATCGGCGACGAGATCTTGAAGACAAACCAGAAGCTTCGCCCAATTCTTCCACCGGGAGAGAAGCCACAGGATGTCGAGGATCCGGAGGAGGAGGAGGAGCCCGAGACTGTCGTCGTGCACGAAAGTGCAATGGCGGAGATCGAATGGGGTATCGCTTCTACCTCTGTCAGAAACGCCAACACGTCGAAGCCAAGCACCTGGGCTGACGCTTTGCGCAAGCCGGCAGAGGAGGTTGAAGAGGTCAACACCCCATGGTCATCGGGCTGGACTTGGGATTACTCGACCTGGACGTCATCCTCCGGGGGCGAGAAGTCAACCAAGACGTGGTCGTCCGCCGCCGATTCCTTGGGCTGGAGGTCAACCAAGACCTGGTCGACCGCTGGCGATTGCGCAGAACCTGTCAAGGAGAAGGACCATGTCGAACTGCCCTCAGCACAGACGAGCAACTCACAACCCACCAGCACCGAAAGTGAGCGTAGCTCTTCCCAATCCACCACAAAGGCTGAGGGAAGCGAGTGGACCGTTGTCGGCAACCGAAAGCCCAAGCCCCAGGCCAAAAAGTCTGTCAGATGGGCAAGCAAAGAGATTTCCCCGGTGGACAACATGCACCGCCAATCCAACAAGGGACCCAGAAGGCGCGACAACAGGTCCTTCAAGGTGAACAACGACATGCCCCATACCAAAGCTTGTCATAAACCCAAGGACAATCTCCCAACAGCACCAGCCATGCAACAGGCCAACCACAAGCCCTCCAGCGTCGAAAATACCATGCCCTCTGGGAAACCAAAGCCCCTCCCCAAACCATCAGCTGCTCCCTTGCACTGGGCTAAGCTCCATGCAACAGATGGTAGACCAGTGCGATGACCCGACTAATTGGTGACCACCACATCTTCCTCCTGCAACAAAAA